GTGTGCGTACTCATGACGATTATTTTACATCCGGCCAAGACTCTTGAGAGCCATATGCATTTTCTGTGAAGGTGAGAGGAGACGGAATGGTGAAATGATGATCATCTGATCGACTTCGCGCTGTTCTGTGGCTGACCGCGCGCGTGTCGCCGGACGGAAGCCTTATGGCTACACCCCTCCCTTTCGTTGGAGACAGGAGGTTCCCGGTGAGTGGATTGTGCTTCAACTTTAAGCTTTTCCCACTCTCTTCCCGTCGACAGATGGACAGAAATGGGATCTACGCGGCAGTTGTTGAATCGAATCGCAATGGGGAAACTGTACATGATAAGTGCTTGATATAAAAGGTGTTAATAGAAAAAGAAATATCCACCTTTTCATTTGGGAATAACATAGCTTCCATGAGGTAAACGATCGACTTTGGAAGTTATTAGAATTATGATTAGGCAACTGTCATTGTCGGAGTCATACAATTTCCCATGACACGATTTTCAAGTGAATCATTCCACCTTAATATTGCCAATGGCCTAAGCCGCACCATATCAGAACTGAATCAAATTTGGCATTTTTGGCAAGTTCTATGGAGTATCTACTAATACTAACCAACCCATCTCACGCCGGAGGTGACGAAGGATTGAGTTCATGTACCTTTTCTAAATCCATTGCATCATTTTCTTAATCTCCTGCAGGAGGAATTTTAGTTATTGGAATGGTTTCATTTCAAGTACAGTATTTTTTTTGGCCTGGACTCCATGAATTTGTCTCAAATATGTGGATAAAAAAAAATAGTGTTTTTGTTCATTAATTACTATAACGTTAGGCTAGACTTGTCAACTCTCCTGTGAGGGACGATTCCAGGAAAAAGAGAGAAGGGGACTTTAGTGTACGGTATCGTTCGAAAAGTCAAGCGTACGTCTCTATCATTTGGCCTTGTGGACAGCTTTTTAATTCCTTAAAATCTTCTAGCCCATATTGCATCAGAATATTGTCAATGTAGATTTTCTATCAATATTGATATAAAATGTTGCAATAACGTAGGTGTCTTGAAAGAAGAAGACCAAGCATAACAGGATCCTTGGCAGAATAAGTAGCATTAATTCTAGGTGCGAAAGTTTTAAGGTCAGGCCGCTGCCCAGTTTATGAGTAAGAAAGTGACTTGATTATTCGAGAATAAGTCGTGGTGCCCATATAGTTCTTGCCTAACGTATGTTAAAGATGTGGAGCCATTTCAACTTGGCTTAGGGATTTAGTGATTTTAAATAAGAATTTTCCCTGCACAATGGGGATGACATCTGGAGAAGGTAAATTGCGGTTAGTGATTTGACAACTGAACTGCAATAGAAATGCCCAGAAATTTCCAAATATCCCATTCTTTGCTTCATGTGAACTATGACCAACCTCAGAATGAAGTACTTGAAGCACCATACATATGTCCCATTAAACGAATCCCTAGGTTTTACGAGTCTCTATGCGTATCTGGTTCCACGTCTTATTTATATTAATATTTCAGTGGAACTTGACTTTCACTGAAGTTGAAGTTAGAGTAACAGATGGGTAAGTAAGAAATCCATTCAGCTTCAGAAGCTTTTTATTTCTAGTTCTGCTTTTCGATTGGCATTCTGCTAGCCAGCACTAGGGCTCTGATGCAACCGTTGTGGTCCTCTTCCCTCGCCTTCCTGGTCTTCTACTCCCATTTGGCCTTCCAGTCCCTCTTGGCCTCCCAGTACCTCTTGGCCTCCTCTGACGTTGCTCTGTGAAATGATGAAGATTTACT